TTTGCAGGGTGGCTGGAGCATGCAGGTGCAGACCAGTCACTGCCCCTGCAGAGGAAGGGCCCAGGAGGCAGACGCTGCTTCAGAGCCCCCCCATGGCTAAAGGCCTCGCGCGTGGCCCAGCAGTCCCCCGCGTGCAGCCATCGGTGCCGTCTGACTCCCGCTTTGGGGAGCAGGCTCAGGCCACAGCCAACACGGCGACCTGTGGGCCTGCCTAATAATTAAGGTCTTCAGTGCTTGGCACGTCCCCTGGAGACCCTCCCCCCCGCACTCGCTGCTTCCTTCCCTGGGGAGCAGGCTCAGGCCACAGCCAACACGGCGACCTGTGGGCCTGCCTAATAATTAAGGTCTTCAGTGCTTGGCACGTCCCCTGGAGACCCTCCCCCCCGCACTCGCTGCTTCCTTCCCTGCTCCACTCTGCCCAGGGCGTGGACAGCGTGTGGAGGAGGGCGAGGGCTCTGGCTGGTGTGGGGCCAGGGATGAGGGATTTGGGGTGCAGGGGGGCTCCAGGCTAGGGGCAAGGGTTTGGAGTGCGGGGTGCTGGAGGGGAGGAACCCAGCTGCAGGATCACTGTGCTCCCAAAGATCCCGTCCCTTCAATGCACCACAGCCCAGCTGCTGCCTGGTGCGCTGTGAAGTGCCACCCCAGGGCTTTGGGTGCAGTGTTCCAGCACCTCCCCCTCGATCCCTTACCCCTGCCCCCCACTGCACTCCCAGAGGCTGCACGGATGTTTTGGGGCTGGCTTGGCAGGCCCTGCAGCCTGGGTGCCCCATGCTCTCTGCCCGGGGGGGGGGGGGACGACAGGGAGCAGGGTGGGACCAAGTGTGTGGGGGGCAGCAGGGACAGGGGGCTCCACCTGGCACCAATTGCACTGCTGGCTGCTGTGCTGGCTGCCTGCAGCGCGCTCTGTCCCCCGGAGAGCACTGGACCTGAGCCCAGCCCGTGGGGGGCGCACAGGAGAGCATGGGAGCTCAGCCCCTGTGGACCCCAGCTTGCAGCTTAGCACCGTTGCAGTGCAGGTGTCTGTGTGGGGGGAGGCTCAGAGTGGGACGTACCCAGCTGTGTAGACGTCCCTAAGTGGAGCTGGCCAGGCTGTTTCACCTTGCTGGACGTTCCCCTCTGCGAAGTGGGGCTAGTATGGGGTGCACTGGAAAGCGCGGTGAGCTAGCCGAGTGCACCCTAGACCTGCCATCCCGCCCCTTGCAGAGCCCTGGCCCGTGGCACCCGATCAGACAGGCCTAGGAACTAACAGTTTTAGTATTTCTACTCTGCCCCTCCCCCCGCCCGGCCCTCGGGGGCAGGCCCAGGCTGCGGAGAAGAACAGCACACGCACAGCAGGTGGGTTGGACAGTTATTGGAGTTTACCAAGCTTGCAAGAGTTAAAAAGTACAACATTCAGAAATATAAAAACCGTCGCTTTCGCCACCTCCAAGGGCTGTACAGGGGCAGGGCTGACATAGCAAAAGAGGCCACTTACGCAGGGAGAGGGGTGTTTGCATAACACACAGAAGTAGTTCACATTCGTTCATCTCGCCCCTGGCTGGCCCACGGAGGACTCGCGAGTCCTGGATCTCGACAGGGCTTGCCTCAGTCTTTGCTGGACAGAACCAGTCCGAGAATTTTGTCTACGTACAGCTGGGCAGCGCAGGAGGAAGCCCCTCCCTAGCGACCCGACTCGTTCCCTGCAGCGCTCCAGGTCGGCACAGGATCTGTTCCAGCTTAGGTGCAGAAGTTGAACTTGGCAAAAGCAAGAGCCGCATTCTCTGTTAAAGCATTAAGAGGGGGACACCCTGGCCTCACTGAAGTCTAGGGCAGACCTCCCCGTGACTTCACGAGAGCCAGGATTTCACCCACGGGTTTTTAAGGCTGGGATTTGGAGATTCAAACTTTTTTTTTTAAAGTGATTTTTTGAAAGGGAAGAGAATCAAGGGAAGTTTCTTTTTCAGAAGCAGCTATTTTCCTTAAAAACACTTTGCAAAGTCCCTTTCCCGCAGGAGGTTTACAATCCAAGTGCTAAAAACCACCCCTCTGTCATGCCACACAAAGCCATTGCTAACTGCTGTGGGTAGCATCTTTTTCCTGAGCAATCGTGTGCAATACTGTACATGGTTATTGGCATTTTTCTCGGCCATAAATTCCAGCAGTAGCATCTCTTTATGCAGCTAAAACATGTTCTTTGTGTATTGAGCATGCAGCTTTTACCCTGCAATATGCAACACTTCCCTAAAGACATGTTGCTTCTACTAAGGCTTAATGTTTCTGGCCTAATGCCACTTGTGGAATAAACATTGGTGGAAACGCTGAGGAATCTATGAAGCTCTTCCTACAACAACTTTGCACAAACTGTTCAAGGGCTGGAACCCAGGCCAGGTTGGTTTTTGCAGCCACGAATCCAGCCACTGGGCCGGAGCAGGAATATCATAGGACCTCAGACTACATTCTAATTGGTCAACAGCATGTTACTGGGGGAAGGGATCATTTATTTGTTCCACAGGCCACGTGAGGGGGCGCTGGCGGCAGAGGGCTATGGGAACACTCCCCCACAGGGAGCCGTTCCAAGAGAAATCGGGGTTGCCGACTCACCTGTGCTCCTAGGCCACACACTGCTTTGGAGGCCCTGTCTGGGCAAAATCAACCTAAAATCGGGGCTTTAACTGTGGGCAGATGGGGGCTCTCGGGGATGCTGAGCTGCTACCAAAACTCTGCCCAATGCCACAGGTCAGGACAGCGGACTGGAACTGAAATGGAGAGCAATGGCCCTGGAGGCGCCACCTGGCAAATCCAACAGGTGCCGTGTGAGCTCTTAGGCACAGATCCGTGGCTGGGCCACATTGGGAGGCTTGGCCCCAGCCAATACAGATGGGGACCAGGTCACTAAGCCAGCAACCCTGGGAGCAGCAAAAGCCCCTGCCCTGAGTGCCTCAGCTGCCTGCTCCATGCCAAGGACCCTGCCTGCATTCCCCACACGGCTGTGCTCACAGCTGGCACGCTGGAGGCAGGTGCGCTCGTTCCTCGGAGCACAGCGACCGGCTCGCCTCGCTTCAGGTGACGTAAGCAACGTTGTGAGTCATGTTCCGTGTCAGACCCACGGGGCACAGAGACGGGAAAGTCCTTCCAGGCCCTGAATGCATCTCCATGCGCATGTGGGATCTGACCTCCAGACAGGGGGCTGTGATGGGAGACAGAGGCT